CGGACAGCTCCGAGCACGCCTTCTTCTCCCCAGCCGCCAATCACTGGACGCCTCAATATCTTGCTCATAGAACGCTTTTACAACCGCAGCCAATCATAGGACGCCTCCGTATCTGATTGGGTAGACCCTCGTACAGCCTATGTCTATCACAGGCCTCTAAAATTCAACATGCCGCGTGAGCGCGTCTCACCTTGCCTGCTGATTGGTAGGGGGCGGGATCGGTGTAAGGGCGGAAGTATCTCCCTGGTAGAGGTGCTGGGGTGGCTGTACATTGCACCATAGAGATGCCCGGAAGTGCGGCTTGAGAGGTTTATTCAGGGTAAGTACTGTTTGTTAGTTCATCTTTATTGCATTAAATGTAGTATATATAATAATGTAATGTAATACAGAAGAGCTCAGCTTATTGTTCACAGGATGGAAATGTTGACGTGAAGAACAGAGGACAGTGAAGGGGGGCAGAGAACAGTAATGGGGGGTTATGTGAAGAGTGCAGAGGACAGGAATGAGGGAATATGTAAAGGGATGGGGGAGGGCAGAGGACAGTAATGGGGGGATATGTAGGTGGGCAGGGGACATTATTGGGATGTGAATGGGGGCAGAGGACAGGAATTTGGGGGGATGTGTACGGGGGCAGAGGACAGTAATGGGGGGGATATGTAAAGGGGGGGGGGTACGGGGGCAAAGGACGGTAATGGGGGGATGTGAAGGGGGCAGAGGACAGGAATGGGGGGAGGGATGTGTGAAGGGGGCAGAGGACAGGAATGGGGGGGGGATGTGAAGGGGGGCAGAAGACAGAAATGGGGGGGCAGAGGATATGTAAAAAGGGGGGGGGGAATGGGGGGGGGATAGAGCACAGGAATGGGGGGGATGTGTAGGGGGGCAGAGGCCATTAATGGTGGGGGGGTTGTTAAAGGGGGCAGAGGACAGGAATGGGGGGGGAGATGTGAAAGGGGCAGAGGACAGGAATGGAGGGATATTTAAAGGGGAGCAGAGGACACTGAAGGGGGGATGTGAACGGGGGGCAGAGGACAGTAATGGGGGTGGGGGGATATGTAAAGGGAGGCAAAGGACAGTAATGGGTGGATGTTAAGGGGGCAAAGAACAATAATGAGGGGGTATGTAGAGGTGAGTCAGAGGACAGTAAAGGGGGGGTGAAGGGGGACAGAGGACAGTAATGGGGGGATGTGTAAAATGGGGCAAAAGACAGAAATGGTGAGGGATGTGAAGGGGGATTATGTAGAGGGGAAGCAGAGGACAAAAAAAAGGGGGGGGGGAGGTGTGAAAAGGGGCAGAAGACAGTAATGGGGTGGAGGGGATATGTAAAGGGAGACAAAGGACAGTAATGGGGGGGGGGGGAAATGTGAAGGGTGCAGAGGACAGTAATGGGGGGGGGGATGTAAAAGGGGAGGCAGAAGATAGTGAAGGGGGAGTGAAGGGTGGGCAGAAGATAGCAATGGGGGGGGTATGAAAAGGGGGACAAAGGACAGTAATGGGGGGGGAGATGTGACAGGGACAGAGGACAGAGATGGGGGGAGATAAAGGACAGTAATGGGGGGGGGGGCGCAATGTGCAGGGGGCAGATGACAGTAATGAACAGGGGGGGTGGATGGGGGGAGATGTGAAGGGAGACAAAGGACAGTAATGGAGGGGCGCAATGTGCAGGGGGCAGAGGACAGTAATGAACGGGGGGGGTGGATGGGGGGAGATGTGAAGGGAGACAAAGGACAGTAATGGGCGTAAAGGCAGGCAGAGTACAGCAATGGGGCGGGGGTTGTGATGTGAAGGGGGCAGAGAACGCTGTAATGAAGGGGGCTGAGGATACTGATATAATACCAGCGTTGTGATGTGAAGGATATGAAGCTTGGTTCCCATCATTACAACCGCTTTGTGTAGACAGCCCATTCCAGGTCCTCAACTTTTTTTTGTAAATCACGTTGCACTGAGCTGCATGTTGCTGCGGCACCTTGCCATTTGGTGAGTACAAACATGCACCACATGTGCCAATAAGAATCAAACATGTGAGAGACACATTGTAAAGGAGAGTAAAAGAAAATCTGACAAAGTTTTTCAAGTATATTAACAGTAAAAAGACAAGGTCAGAACATATTGGCCCTATAAAAGATGGACAGGGAGAAGGCATCTCTATTAAAGTGATATTAAACCCAAAAGCAAACATTTATTATATTGCAGCTTACCAATTCTTAGATGTGATGGCTGCATTCTTTTCTTATTTATTATTTTAATTTCAAATAGTGATCCAGTTACTAAGTGTTTTTTTTAAAAAGAACAAACTCTCCTGCAGATGTATCAATTGAAGGGATGAGACAAACCATTTAACACTGGCAGGGATACCTAAAAGACTAGAAAAACATAATGTGTATAAATTGCCAAGACCGGGTGGTTAGGCACGTGTGTGATGGTTTATGGTTCTGTGTATTTTATATTTCCCTCTTGTGGTTCTCACTATTTCAGCATTCCTACAGCAGCCATGAATCCCCCATTCTTGTCACATTCCTTGTACCAGGACGGGAAGATGAAGTCAAAGAAGAGAAGTCATAAGGAGAAATATCGGCTGAAGTGTCTGCGGCTCCGACGACTGGCGAAAACCATGGTGTTTGTGAGTGCAATATTCTCGCATATCAGAGTCTTTACGTCATCGCCATCCTATATACAAACTGGAGGATGGGGAGCTAATCTATACCAGAGGGAGCAGCCAATCAAATGACAGTTCTTATATTTCTAACCTGTGATTGAAGACTCCGGGGGAGGATTCTTATTGGGTGTAGGGGAAAGGGGGAGATGCATTCCTTCCATTGGTGTACATCAGCCTCTGTGGTTTCAGCCATGTTGTAAAATTATATAATAGTCATTGCAATCCCATCCGCTAGTTCATGCTTCGGGTCCAGTAATTGATTCAGACTCTTGGCAGACATTTTATTTGAGTGACAATGTTTGGAGATGCCTGCCTGTCAGTCCAGTGTTTTCTGCATTAGGATCAATGCTATCTATGAGAGCGGAGTAACATTGGGGTCCTCACCATAGCGCTGTTATTATTATACAATTATATAGCACTGACATATTTTACAGTGCTGTACAGAGAACACTGAGCCAGTCGTATCAGTCTCTGCACAAGATGGGCTTACATCTTTTTCAACCAGGGTGCCGCAGCAAAATGACATAAAACTGCCCCAATCCATAACAGTCTGATCAGAGTGTGTACTGAGAGCACAGCCTGCTCCTCCTCCCTGCTGCTTTCAGCAACTCAGGAAGCTGTGCAGGCTGCCCCCTTGCATTCTAACAACCGATGATGTAATTGGTTGCTGAGGACAGGTCTGACAGCCCACACATCTTCCAACAGACATACAGATATCAGGGAGGAGGAGAGAGCTGGAAGGAGGTGCAGGCTGTGCTCTCCCCATCCTGTCTGTACACAGGTGTTTACTGGTGATCGCTCTCTGTCAGACTGTACAGCAATGGTGTATTTAGGTTTTGTACTGCCCTAGGCAACACAAAAATTGCCCCCCCCCCCCCCCCCCCCCCCCCCCCCCCCCCCCCCCCCCCCCCCCCCCCCCCCCCCCCCCCCCCCCCCCCCCCCCCCCCCCCCCCCCCCCCCCTTGAGAGAGACTGACATTGACCAACAACACCCCCAGCCCCCCCACCCGAGAGAGCCTCCCCCATGGTGAGAGAGAGACACTAATCTTCACAGCTCTGAACATCCCCAGGAATGAATAAATCGTCATAAAATCCCGCAGCCTCTCTCGGAACCCCACCAGGTCCCCATGCCATGTGTGTCCCTCCCCCCCCCCCCCCCCCCAAAGAAATATGTTGCCCTAGGCAAATGCTTTGTTTGCCTTGTGGTAAATACACCCCTGCTGTACAGAGCTTGATTACCTCCCCCTATCTCCTCTCCACACTGCTCTTGTCCCAACAGCAAAAGCTGTTTGTAGAGGGAGGTAATCAAACCCTGCAAAGTCCGATCTGAGTGTGTCCTGAGTTATCTCCTGTATACGGACTGGAGGGAGACGAGCTGGGGGGAGGAGAGAGCACATTTCACACCTCCTACGGCTCCCTCCTCCTCTTTGCCACTGTCACTACTGCTGTAGTGTGGTAACCCGTGCACAATTGCACCTTTTCCTGCATGCACAGAAATCCACTGCCTTTTGCAGACACGGGAAGGTGGCATGATCTCCTAATGGCATCCCCATGCATCTAGCAAATATTCGTACATTGGCACCCACTAAAACACATGGTACCACACTAATGTGTTTTCGTACAGCGTGAGTTAAGAAATCATGTCAGCACTTTTTTGTGTTTTTCATGAACATTGAGCAGCCCGTTAAAAAAAAAAAAAAAAAAAAAATGCGGCACTTGGGAATATACAAAAGTGGGCATGTTCGAACGCACCTCTTGATGTGAATGAGCCCTAAAACTGGTGTTTCCTGGGATTGTGTGCAATTCTAAATAGTGCCTTGACTGAAAAATGATTGAAAAACACTGCCCTAATGTTCCACCACAGTGACATATGCATATAACACTGCCATGTTTTGCAGTGCTGTACCGACAACACTGAGCCATGTACATCAGTTTATTATCATACACGTACATAGCTCTGACATATTCTGCAGTACTGTATGGAGAATGCTGAGCCAGTCATGTGATTCTCTCCTCCAGAGGAGCTTACACTCTAATGCCCCATCCACAGTCGCACTATTATCATACATGTACATAGCTCTGACATATTCTGCAGTACTGTACAGAGAATGCTGAGACAGTCACGTGGGTCTCTGCTCCAGAGGAGCTTACACTCTAATGCCCCATCCACAGTCACACTATCATTATACATGTACGTAGCTCTGACATATTCTGCAGTACTGTACAGAGAATGCTGAGCCAGTCACATGGTCTCTGCTGCAGAGGAGCTTACACTCTAATGTCCCACCAATTATTTCCGCTGCAGTGGGATGGTCTTGGTGTCTACACTTCAATCGTACATTTCTGAAATGTGTGTTTTCTTTTATGGTTCCTTTTTTATTTATAAACGGTCTTATTATTCTGTACAGGAAAACACAGCACTCTGTGATGAGGTAGCACGCATCGAAAGTAAATTTGTCAGAGCAAAAGAAGAGAGAAGGTAAATTTTTAGTCGTACCTCCATTTTCCATGTAATACTGGTTCCAGTGGGTTTGAATACACAAATACCTGAAATCCATTCCCTTCACAGCAAGGAACACCCTGGGTGCCATTCTGCTTCCAGCAGCCTTGTACATATATACTAAGGCCTGCACAGACTCTGAACGTATCAGTGTGTCCTTGTGTGTGTGTCATTCAGACTTGGGGGGGGGGGGGGGGGGGGGGGGATGTGTAGGGGCATTAAGTGTGTGTGAGATTATGTATGTTTATACAACGCTCTGTAGCTAAATCTGAGATCGTAAAACTCAGTCTTATGAAGCAACCATTTTCCCTTTTCAGGTTTCTATTAAAAAGGCTCTTGCAGCTGCAGGCATTAGGTGAAGATGATCGGCCCACAACGCACAGTTCCAGCCTGTCGCTCAGTTTTGACATGCCGAGCATGAGTGATGGGAACCTGGACATGAGCCTTCCCAGCGTGGCAGACAATGGCCTGGGGAAGAAGCTGAAAAAGGACAAGAGAGAAAAAGGCAAAGAGAACAAATCAGAAGGTGAGTACTGGGCGCCATAGGCTGGCTAATCTGTTAAAGCAAACTTGTCTTTTCTTGCAAAAGGAAGCCACTTACTCTGCAGGGATGTAGCCCAGAAGGGGCCACTTACTTTGTTGCAGTTGAAGTTTTTTTTATATTGGGGCTGTATCCTGTAAATGTATCTAATGCCCAAGACCCAGATGCCCTTTTTTCATATTTATTGTTTGAGACCTTCTGGTATTCATGAGCCTGTGGAAAGCTGTGTGCTAGGTGCAACTAGTAAGGCCCACCACTGCATCAAAGTAGGATACCTGCTAAATCTACAACAGTACAAACAACCTAGTGGTACCTGTTTGGGTACCTTTTTAGATCCAAGTGCTCAAATATTCACGTAGTAACAAAGCTTTGACAAAAAAAAATGGAAGTTGATTGGTTTCTATGTAGAACTGCACCAGATTTTGCTCACTCCAGCTTTAGTAAATCAACCCCACTGTATTAGTGGAGGGTGACATCCAACTAAAAGCTTCTAGAGTTATGTAAGTCCTTAGACCAGTGGTGGGCAACCTTTTTTTTCAACTGAGCCAAATCTCACCAAAACCACGATTGAAATTTATTTTGAGAGCCACATTTTTAAAACTGAAAATGAATTCAATAGTAATTCATCCCCCATGTAGTAATTCATCCCCCATGTAGTAATCATCCCCCATGTAGTAATTCATCCCCCATGTAGTAATTCATCCCCCATAGTAATTCATTCCCCCCTATAGTAATTCATTCCCCATACTGTGTCAATTCACTTACCTTTGCTCCGCGCGTTCCTCTCGCCGTGTTCCCGCGCCGTTCCGGTCTTCAGGGCGGACTGTGAGAGGAGAGGAGTTTGTCACGCTGCCCCGCCTACATCCTGGCTGCCCCGCCTACATCCTGACAGCTGCAGAGTCCTGACTTTTGGGGCGGTTGCCCGAGAGGAGGGAGGGGAGCGGGCTCCCGGCACACAGAAGAGCCGCATTTAAGTTTGTAAAGAGCCGCATGTGGCTCGCGAGTCGCGGCTTGCCGACCACTGCCTTAGACCAATGGTTAAAGTAATCAGCAGATGATAGCAGAGTTGTTCCAGAAAGGTCCACACAGCAGAAGTCGATGATTCGGATAAGCCCAGGCAGGATGAGTACAAACGCAGTCCAAATAATTTGCAAGAATAATCCAGGCAGACTAACCTGTTAATCAGGAACTAGCTAAAAGTCCAGCAGTCTATTTAAGAACTCCTAGTTTAGACAGGTGTGCACAGCAGAGACCTGAGCTGCAATTTGCCTATTGATCAGCGGATTTTGAAGGTTCAAGGTTGAATGTTAGAAAAATGTTACATTGTGACACCAGAAAGATTCCAACATGTGATTGAAAGTGGATTGGAAATTGATGCAAAGATATAATGACCCTTTTTAACTATTTATTACAATGCACACCCAAAAATGTCATTCTGTCCTGTGCTTAGTACAGCATTTTTATAAATTTGTTTTTTGTATTCTAATTGTGCCAACAGAAGTGCAGCTAGGTAGGTTTACTGTTACAGAACAGCAGTGCTTTCTTGGATAACACAAAAATGGTGGCTTTTTCAGCTGAGACTAGGTTGACCCCTGGCTGTACTGCTGACAGAAACTCTCTACATGTATACACATTGACTGACTGGATCTATGAATGTGAGCACACCTTGCTAACCAGAAACTTTACGTCTACAGTTACGAAGAAATTAACAAAAAAGAAGAGAGTGACAGACGGGGCCCCGCGCAGGTGGGTTCAGCCAATCCTCCTGGACCCGTGTGGACGGCCAGTCTTCCCCATTGTTTTAGATGGTCTGACAGTTTATAGTCTGGGAGAGGTGAGGATTACTTCTAAATCTTTAATGCTTTATACACATAGGCGTACTCCAGCATACGTCTGTGTGAGGGCTATGTTTGCCCACACAATGATGCACAGAGTTTTCTGTGCATCACTGTAAATGCAGTCTTATTCATGTCAATTGGGATGCATTGACTGCACAGACAGAGCCTCTACTTCCAATATGACAGCCATGCAGGTACACCGCTCCAAACGCACACTGTCTGTTGTTAGCCATGTGTTTGCACAGACCACAATGTGGGAGCAGTGGCTGTGTCCGTGCAGCCGCTGCATCCCACTTGACATGAAAGGGACTGCCTGCACAAAGATACACAAAACACCTGTGCATCCCTGCAAGCACGGCCCTTGCATGGGCGTATGCTGTAGTATATCCATGTGAACAAGACCTAAGAGAATGTATAGTGGTTTTATGCACTTTATTATTATTATATATTTATTTTTTTATTATGGCCAAAACTATAAAAAAAAGTCTGATAAATATTTTTTTAAGTATGATAAATATGAAATATTTTGCATATAGTACAGTTGCAAAGCAGTTAGAACTTCTGCCTGGCATCACCAAGGTCGTCTATTTGAATCCCAACCATGACACTGCCTGTATGGAGTTTGCATGTTCTCCCTGTGCCTGCGTGGGTTTTCCTCGGATACTCCGGTTTCCTCCCACACTCCAAAGACATGCTGGTAGGTGAATTGGCTCCTGTCTAAATTGACCCTAGTATGTGTATGTATGAATGTGGGTTAGGAACCTTAGATTGTACGCTCCTTGAGGGCTGGGACTGATGTGAATGTATTATACATATGTAAAGCCCTGCTGTAAATTGACAGCACTATATAAATACCAGAAATAAATAATAAATATGTTGCACTTTTCTCTCCAGCCAGCAGTTGGAACTCTAGTCTTTTTTTTTTTTTTTTTTTGTAAAACAGTTTCACTCTTGGCTGTACTAGAAGTATCTAATTGTTTGTAAAGCTCAGAAAAGCACCACAACAGTGACTCCTTCCTTATTGGAGGGTGCATGCTGCCTTTCACTTTATGTGAACTTCTGTGTGAATGGACACACAGGTTGTATTTGCATCTTGGACAAATCAGGTTGTGAGATGCATCCCAGATTATTAGAGTTGTAATGTCACCTCTATTTTCAGTCCTCACAAAGCGCAGCCATTGGTCCTTGCCACAACAAATGACTGTAAGTGAAACAAGGTGGGACCTTCAGACATCTAATATATAAAATACTATCTGTCCAACGCCCTGTGAATGCAGCTTTGTGGTCACGGGTGTATAAAATCAAGCCCCTAGGCATGCAGACTGCTTCTACAAACATTTGTGAAAGAATGGGTCGCTCTCAGGAGCTCAGTGACTCCAAGCGTGGTCCGCGATAGGTTGTCACCTGTGCAATAAGTCCATCCGTGACATTTCCTGGCTACTAAATATTCCACAGTCAACTGTTAGTGGCATTATAACAAAGTGGAAGCAACTGGGAACAACAGCAACTCAGCTCCCAAGTGGTAGGCCACGTAAAATGACAGAGCGGGGTCAGCGCATGCTGAAGCGCACAGTGCGCAGAAGTCGCCAACTGTCTGCAGAGTCAATAGTTAAAGACCTCCAAACTTCATGTGGCCTTCAGATTAGCACAACAACAGTGCATAGAGAGCTTCATAGAATGGGTTTCCATGGCCGAGCAGCTGCATCCAAGCCTTACATCACCAAGTGCAATGCAAAGCGTCGGATGCCGTGGTGTAAAGCACGCTGCCACTGGACTCTAATTCGGTGGAGACGTGTTCTCTGGAGTGACCAATCACGCTTCTCTGTCTGGCAATCTGATGGACGTGTCTGGGTTTGGCTGTTGCCAGGAGAACGGTACTTGCCTGACTGCATTGTGCCAAGTGTAAAGTTTGGGGGAGGGAGGATTATGGTGTGGGGTTGTTTTTTAGGGGTTGGGCTTGGCCCCCTAGTTCCAGTGAAGGGAACTCTTAAGGCGTCAGCATACCAAGACATTTTGGACAATTTGGGGATGGCCCCTTCCTGTTCCAACATGACTGCACACCAGTGCACAAAGCAAGGTCCATAAAGACATGGATGAGTGAGTTTGGGGTGGAGGAACTTGACTGGCCTGCACAGAGTCCTGACCTCAACCCGATAGAATACCTTTGTGATGAATTAGAGTGGAGACTGCAAGCCAGGCCTCCTCCCCCGACATCAGTGCCTGACCTGACAAATGTTCTTCTGGAAGAATGGTCAAACCTTCCCATAGACACCCTCCTAAACCTTGTGGACGGCCTTCCCAGAAGAGTTGAAGCTGTTATAGCTGCAAAGGGGGGCCAACTCAATATTGAGCCCTACGGACTAAGACTGGGGGGCCATTAAAGTTCATGTGAGTGTAAAGGCACTTTTGGCAATATAATGTATATATCAATTGAGGAGATTTTCTTTCACTTTCTGCTATGAGAAACAAACTGGAAATGAGAGAAATTGTCTTCAAAGGTGAGGGAAACCTCCTCTCAGATCTGATGAGAACAATAAAAAGTTGAATTTCCCATCACTTACTGTCCTGTTGATAATGGTAACAAGGTTAAATAGAAAAGGTAAATCTGCCCACCTGCCTAGCAGGTCCTAACTTTTCACCAATCTATCCAAAACCTTGAGTAGAACTAAAGCCAAACCAGGTTATACCTATCAGTTTCTTTTTGCCATCTTTGTCCAATGGGGTAGATTTCCCTTCACTTATAGTCCTATAGCCACACCTGGAAGTGAGAGTAAACCCCTCCAAAGGAAGGAAATCCTTGGTTTTCACCAGAACAAGTGTCTCTTCCTATTGGAAGGTTTCCCCTCTATTCCTGTTCTGGTGACAACCCAAATTTGGAATTTTTTTTTTATCTTCACTCTCTGTGATAACAGGTGAATCTCCCTAATGGAGACACAGAGAGCAATATAAACATAAGAGGTGTTCTAATCCCTCTCCGCTCTTTCCAAACTAAGAAAGGTTTTGCCTTTTCGTTATACTTTAAAGAGAAAAAAAAAGTTTGGTTTTAGCTACACTGTAGCATGAAATATCTGAAATGGAGTCCCCTCTGCGTCAGTGAATACTATTTATATATTCTCAGCTATAACACATTCATGTTTTTACAACAGATTGTATCCGACCGGAGCGGGTTCCATGACAGGAGCGCCATTTATCCTGTGGGTTTCTGCAGCACAAGAGTTTACGTCAGCATGCGAAACCCAGAGCAGAAATGTCTATATACGTGTCAGATCAAAGATGGCTGGACCAGGCCTCAGGTGACCACTTTACACTTTCTCTTGGATGATTATGTGACGTTGTATTACAAAGTACATAGCATCATAATACAAAGTGCCCACTTACCTGCACAACAGGAAATGTTTATAAAGCTCGCCATGACTAAACACTGGACAATTCCTGCATTGCGTACTGACGGAGGCAGATTTAAATGCAGCAAAATTGCAACTGACTGCTGAAGCACAATGTGCAATTGTATCACTCATAAACAAGGATGGATACTATATCCTCAAAGAGACATATCTAGACACACCATAAATGGAACTTTATGTTCAGCACTCAATCGCTCATAAAAAGAGAAGCAAGAAATAGATCTAAAATCATTTATCTAGTCTATAGATTAAAGTGTTACTAAACCCACAACAGTAAAATCTGTATATGCAGTAAAGCATGCTTGTTATACTCACTGTGGGAACTAAGGGGTTAATCCTCCGCATTGTGAAAAAAGGCTGTTTGAGCCTGTCTTCTCTGATCCTCCCCTTCTTCTACTGTCCCCAATCAATCTGTTGACAGTATGGAGCTCTAGGAGTCACTCTGCACATGCTCAGTTTAGTGTGTATGGCTAGAGAGTTTTTTTCTCTTTGGGAGGGTGCATGTGATCAGCACAAGGCCAATCGGTACTGTCCAGACAGAGAGTCAAGGGTTATGCAGCCTCATGGGACAATCAGCACAATATGAAAACTCCTACAAACTTTAACCAGTGATCGCCCCCCATTTCCTTCCTGGGGGTAAGAGGCATAAAGTCTTACCATGTTGGCATATAAGCAACAAACACCACCTTCTGCAGCTGTTCAATTACATCAAGCAGAGGACCCTACACCTTTTATCCTGCCTCCATCCCTTTAACACCCCAACAGGTTGTGTGATTTCTGATGGGCAGGATGAGCTGCTTCCCACCAGGGTATGCTACACTCAAAGTTGGAATGCACACCAAACATATGCATGTTAAGGGCCTCCCATAACTGAGCGCTCACAAAGGGAGCCATCCCACGCTAACAGACCTTCTTGGCTGAATGTACCAACGTTCCTTTAAATAAATTCTTTATCCAAGGGGTTTTACCAGACGTTTGATAAATAAATACATTTCAGATTTCCTATTTTGCTTTTTGATTTATGAGCAGTTTGAGCCCTGAAAAGAATCCCATTTATTGTCTGAATATAGGTGTACAATTGAAGTTGATATTGATTATTCGCATGGCCTATTCTCTCAGCAGTCCTTCGTGGGTCCTCAGTGTGTACCTAATATACGTACAGCCACAAGAGGGGGCACTTCCATGTGTGTGAAAATATGGTTCAAAATATGAAAATCAAAATTTTTTTTATGTAAATGATGTCGAAATAACTTTACAAACTTAATTCTTGAAAGTACACCAATGTAAGAATATAATGATCTCTTTTGTTCCCCTAGTTTGAGATCGTCCCTGAGGATGACCCCCAGAACACGATAACTGGCAGCTCAGCTGCAGAATGTCACAATGCTTTACTGAAGAGCGTTGGGGCTGTGCGGTGAGTGCAATCTACTCGCTTCCAGATCTGCCTTTTACTACAGGACACAGGAGCTAGGGGTAATGGGCTCCACCACCAGCAGGGGGCAGCAGGTAGCCTCTGCCTCTGTGTTTTAGGTAATGTGCCTTCTCTAAACCTATCTGAAAAGATTGACTTTAGACCCAGAAGAATTAAGGGGGACCTGATGTTGTGGTATTGATTACATACCTTTTACTACAAACCGTTCTTGCACTGTTTTTGTTGTCCTGTTGATGTTCCAATTGTTTTCTGCTGTCAAAGTGGACCTAAACTGAAAAAGTGAACATTTGCGATCTTATATGGCAACATCCAGAAAGTCTGAGCAGTACCTCAAAACCAGGGGCGGACTGACCATTTGGAAACTCGGGCACTGTCCAAGGGCCTGGGGTCAGTAGGGGGCCCCATGAGATGCTTCTGGTACCTTTTTCATAGGCTTTTTTGAGTTTGGGCAAGGACACAGGGGCCTCATGATCCCCTATTGCCCGGGGGCCCCATGAGTTGTCAGTCCACCCATGCTCAAAACATCTACCTTTTTTGTCTTGCTTTCCCCCTGAAAATGCCTTTCTCTATCAGGTTTCTATTCTTTCTCCACTGGCAAGATTTGCCCTTCACTTCCTGTTCCTGGTAACCACACCGGACGTGAAAGGAGAATCTCCTACAGGGGTAAGACAGCGATCTGTCCTTCCCTAGTCCATCCAAAATATAAACAGATGGAGTCAAGCTCTAATTTTACATTTTTTTTTTTTATATATATTAGAATAATCTAATAGTAAGTATTAAACTAAGTAGTATTAAACCCTCAGGTGTTTTTTGCCTAACACACTGAGCACAATGACATAAACTTTCCCCAGTTAACTATCAGGTAAAATTCTTTCTTACCCTAACACTTGCAGTTTATAGCTTTCAATGCTGCTGGCTCCTGCGCTGTAAGTGCTGCTTCCTTGAACTTCCACTCTTCACAGGAAAGAGTTAAGTGGACAGTGCAGTCTCCAGTCAGTCTGTTAGTTTGGAAAGGGAGGAGCAAGGGAGTGCCTTACCATGCTAGACTATGAGGCTGTGTGTTTCTATTAATGTACACAGTGCAGGGAAACACAAGTCTAGTCCATGCATGCATTACTCAGTAAGTGATTACACGCACTGCTGAGGGTTTAAGATAACTTAAAGTGGAGTTCCACTCACTCTGTAAAAAAAAAAGTCAGCAGCTACAAAAACTGTAGCTGCTGACTTTTAAAAAACAGCCACTTACCTGTCCCACGATCCTGCGGTGTCTTCTGTGTGGGCACCCGGCTGTGACAGCTTGCGGCTTCTTGAATGGCCCGTCGTCTTCTGGGACCTGTCACGTGTCCCACAAGACTACAGGAAGGGAGGGTAGGAGGACAACTTCAGGTGCCAATCCTTAATGGGGAGCGGGGGGGACCAATCTTTTAAAGCGGAACTTCACCTTTTGGGTGGAACTCCGCTTTAAAAATGTACAGTTCCATATATGTTTCTATACCTGCAGTTTTTATGATTCTGATGCTATGTGGAAGGAACTGAAATTTAAAAAAAATTAGACTTCCCAGCTGGCACAGAGCTTATTCTGAAGCTGCTGTAAGTTGCACTGTGCAAAGACATCCAGAAGTGATTTTGTTCCATACATTAGGAGCTCTTCGGTGGAGATCCCCAGTAAAATCTTCAAATGTATTCAGAGCCAGAAGGGAAGAAAGTCAAAGAGAAGAATTGGGGAAATATAATTCTATATAACAATAAGAATGAACTTCGCTCAGCAAATATGTTAATGACTCAACACACTTCTTTTCTCTGTAGAGGACAGAGGGTCTCCGCTCCAGAAAATGCCGGGCCGTACTTTTTTGGGTTTTCGCACCCCACCATTCAGAACTTAATACAAAGTTGCCCCGGAGCTCGCAAATGCTCAAGGTGAGATTTCCCTGCAAATTTCAAATTCAGAAACTATCATACAGTTTGTAAGGGTGAGAAGAGAATATGGAGGAAGAGAGAGAGACAGGTCTTCCTCCTGCCCGTAGATTACAGTCTGTGACGCATTTCTTGCTGTTTGTTGGTGATAGAAGGATGATATTTATCAGCAATGGCCCTATCCTTTTAAGTTTTTCTTGAATTGTCCCAGCTTGTACTATCATCAGAGACTCTGAATAAGAGGCAGGGACCCAAAACATGTAGGTTCATGTACTTTGCTCCTGGGTGCCAGCTTGTACCATCATCATGGACTTTGATTAAGGGGCAGGGCCCTGAAACCTGTAGGTGGAGGTACTTTGCGCCAGGGAGCCAGCTCATACAGTCATCAGAGATTCTGATGAAGAGGCAGGGCCCCAAATTCTGTAGATTGAGTTACATTGCTCTGGGGAACCAGCTTGTACCATCATGAGAGATTCTGACGAAGAGGCAGAGCTCTGAAACATGCAGGCAGAGGTTCTTTGACAATGGTACAAGCTGGGAACCTGAAGCAAGAAACCTCCACCTACATGTTTCAGAGCCCTGCCTCTTCATCGGACTCCCTAATGATAGTACAAGCTGGCAACCTGAAGCAAGAAACCTCCACCTACATGTTTCAGAGCCCTGCCTCTTCATCGAACTCCCTGATGATGGTACAAGCTGGCAACCTGGAGCAGAGAGTCTGATGAAGAGGCAGGGCTCTGAAACATGTAGGTGTAGGTACTGTGCTTTAGGTTGTCAGCTTGGTCCCTGACTAGGATATTACATCCTGGACGAGTAGTGGCTGATTTTCATCCCATGTGTTTTAGTATCTATTATTATTATACAGGATTTATATGGGGCCAACAGTTTGCGCAGTGCTTTACAGTTCCACCACCACAAGTTATCCCTCATTTTTCTCTGTGGAAGTGGTAGTTTTTGCATCTGTACAAGGGACCTGATATCCCATAGGATTTGATTTACCTGGGTACACATTCTGGCCAAGTCCCTTTTTTGTAAATGCAATTATCTATATTTTATATATGTGTTTTATATATATTAGGTGTTTTATCTACACTATCCAGCCTGCTCTGTTATATTAATATTTTATATATATATATATATATATATATATATATATATATATATATATATAATAAAAAATAAATATAACCGAGCAGGCTGGATAGTGTAGATAAAACACCTAATAAATAAAATACATATATAAGGCGTGTTCAGTTTAAAGACAGAGTAAGTGAGGCAACGTTGGGTACAATTCAATCTTTTCACCTCATTGTCGTTTTTTCAGTTACGAGTGGGTAAAGTTTGAAGTATGGAAGCCCGGGGACGGGTCAGTGCCTCAGGAGATGTATGATAACAGCGCAGCTGTAAGCTTTGAGGCTTTTCAGAGGCAATCCTTGGAGGAGATGAAACCGGATCATGTGTTATCAGGTAAGAAGGCTGATATCAGATCACTGAGCCCACTATAAGCACACCATATTCCCACAGCAACTGCCAACTGAAAGACCTGAGAATGCGACCTGTACAAAGTTTTACCAGAGATCTGAACCCAAAGACACCCACTTTTCTGCCAGCTTGTCACCCAGTGCACAGAGATCGTACCTGTATCTCTGCCAGTCTCCGTTTTGACTCCAGCCTTCAGGCTTCATTTTGTTTAAATGGACATAGAAAGATACTTTGGTGTATGTCTCTGGTAGACTACACATTGGATTGAATGCCAGCAGACATGCAAAATATCGACCACGGCTGTCAAGCAGAAGAACATTTAGCCTGGGTTCACATCTGTGCGGTTCAGTATATCGCATGTGATTTGCACAGGAACCGCACCGCATTTCAGTACAAATCACATGTGATTTGTGTGCAGTGTGATTGGAGCCGTACATTTTGTATGGCTCTATTTGCACCGCACCCACACCAGGACCTTTTTTTTGTGTCCTCTCTAGAATCAGATCACATGGGTATTCACACCTATACGATCCGGTTCTGCACATCGCACCACGTTTTGCAGACCGCTTTCAGGTGCTGTTACCTTAACATACACACCTGCAGCGGTTCACATGAATGGGGTGTGATTGTGATGCGGTGCGGAATTTGCACTGAAAAGACTGAGAATTCTGCATCAGTGTGAACCAGGGCTCAGGCTCCATGCACACAAGTGTTTTTTTTTAAGCTCACAAACCGCTGATAATAGCATTTTTAGGAGTGTTCTTGTTTTATTAGTATTTTACAGTACATGTAGTAAAAAAAAAAGAGCTAGAAAAAAAAAGCTGTTGGGTGCGTGTTTTTTTTTTTTTCTGCCAGGAAAAATGCTTCCAAAAACAATTTTTTTTTTTCTGCTCCTAAATGCTGAAGCTTGAAAAATGCTGGTAGTCTAAACTAGTGTGCATGGACACATAGGATAACAATATTAGCTTCCAGGGGCAGAAATAAACAATGATAATAACAGCTTCTAGGAGCTTAAAAAAAATGCCAGTGTGCATAGAGCCTTATTATTGTATTCTCAGGGGGGCTGGGAAACCTTAATACACAGTATGGAGGAGACGGGGTTAAGAGAACCTGTTGCCTAGTCCTGTGTGGATGAATTATTAGGTTTACCTTCAGTCTTGCACAGTTGTACCGGCTCCTGTACTGAAACTTACTGCACACTGTGAGAGTCCTCCTCTTTTCCTGGCTGGAGGATTTCAAGCACCATCTAGCTCTTTCCTCCCCAGTCTGACTGTCCGTGGCTTGCCAGAGTCCAGTCATTGGCTTTCAGTTGTGAAGGCTCAGCAACATGTGGGCACTACTTAGGGTTACCTGCATGCAAATACAGTCCACCTAGAAACCCACTCCTCCACACTGACACCCATCAAGGCATCTGTATTATTGCATATCTCCTCCCAAAACAAAGCCCACTGTTTGCATCACGGCCGAGGGCTCTTGAGAGGAGTACTGAGGCAGGGTACTGTGATGTTTTTAGGGCGCTTCATACAACACCCTGCCAGCACCTCCCACCAGCTGTGATCTGTCTGCATTGCATAGAGAAGCGCAGAGGCCCAGTGATATCTCTGGGTCTAAAATAATTTATGTAATGAAAACGGAAAGGTGTTATTTAAAAGCTTTAATGAAATGGTAATGTGTCTGTTTCTGTTTATTCTTCCTCCATGTTTTCTAACAGTTCTTGAATCCCATTTTATGACGTTTGCTCTTTACAGGAACATTGGATCTTCCGGACATTCATGCCTCTCATGATTACATCTCCACCTATCAGGAAATGTTCTTGTCACCTCCGCACATCTCTCGAGACATCCAGCAACTGAAGTCTTCCTCGTCCAGCCAGTACAGCCCATCGTGACCCCCTGAGGACAATCTGTAAAGACTGTCACCCCAAGAAATGTACAATGTGTATATTTTACTTATTTATTTAGATTTTACTTATAAACTCCCAATGTGTGTTTTTTGTTTTTTTTGTTTTTTAAATATCTGAATTTGTTTTAACTGTCATACAAAATGTGTGTTCCTTGTAGCTCACATAAATTATATTTGCATTACATGTATAGACCACTGGAATTGTATATGGTGGACTTTTTGTGTTCTAGTTAAAGACGTAAAAAAAAAAAAAAAAAAAATCTAACATATAATCGTTACATAAGCCATTGGGGTTTATTTACTAAAGCTGGAGAGTCCAAAATCAGACTCCCTTCTGCATAGAAACCAATCAGCTTCCAGGTTTCATTGCCAAAGCTTCATTGAACAAGCTGAGGTTAGAAGCTGATTGGTTTCTATGCAGAAGGGAGTCTGATTTTGAACTCTCCAGCTTTAGTAAATAAACCCCATTGTGTCATGTCATTTAAAGCCCATCTGTGGGCAAAAACCATTTAAGCTCCTATTTACATCTGCATTGCTCTCTGAAGAGTGATCTGCATTCAGATTGCTCTTGAGAGAGCATTAGACGGGCAGTGAGGAGGTGTTGTATTGCCTCCTCACTGCCTGCTTTAACCCCCTAAATACTGTACCAGATAACCATGCATGTTGTGCGCATTCGCCAAGCAGCCCCAGTTATTTGGGTTGCACTTGGTAGGTCTGCCATTTGTGACATAGGCAATTCGTGCTGCCGTGGCTGCAAACCAATACGTCACAGCTGTATCATATGCACACCCTTGGCCATTGCCTCTGCAGCAAATGAGGAAGCAGTTTGGGAGGGTGTGGTAAAACCACAGCTCAATCATAGCATTTTTACCTCCCCCAGTTGTTAATATACCCTAAGTGCGTGTTCTCACATTCAACGTCTGCTTCTTCCTTGATCAATCCTGTGCAGAAGTCTGCTGTCAAATTGCTCCAGGCCTGAATATCCTGTCCAGGGGAGCAGACACCAGTTTCTGATTTATGTTCAGAAGGGTAACTGGTCTCTGCAACTCCCAGGTGTAGTCTCAGGCTGGCCATACATTATTCAATTCTCTTGAGAATTTTGCTTTAGATTTACCAAAAACCATATAATCCGAAGTCAAACCTAAACAACACTTTGAATTGTATCTGATCAGGCAGGCCCTTGCGCTACATAGTTGACGGTAAATCTAAAGGAAATTGGACAGAAAATTGTATAAAGAGTAAGGCTGACATAACCACATAAATACAATCCAATTTGTTCTTGTATCTACAGTGCCTTGAAAAAGTATTCATACCCCCTGAAATTTTCCACATTTTGTCATGTTACAACCTAAAACGTCAATGTATTTTATTGGGATTTTATGTGATAGACCAACACAAAGTGCTGCATAATTGTGAAGTGGAAGAAAAATGATAAATGGTTTTCAAATTTTTTTTATAAAATAAATATCTGAAAAGTGTGGCGTGCATGTGTAGTCAATACCAGGGGCGGACTGACAACTCATGAGGCCCCCGGGCAATAGGGGATCATGGGGCCCCTGTGTTCTTGCCCACACTCAAAGCACACCCCAAAAAAGCCTATAAAAGGTACCAGGGGCATTTCATGGGGCCCCCTACTGACCCCCGGGGCCCTCGGGCAGTGCCCGAGTGCTCGAATGGTCAGTCCGCCCCTGGTCAATACTTTGTAGGACCCCCTTTCGCTGCAATTCCAGCTGCAAGGCTTTTTGGGGATGTCTCCACCAGCTTTGCACATCTAGAGAGGGACATTTCTGCCCATTCGAATTGGGTACCACATCCGATTTGCATAATGTGACCCTGCAGCCTTTTCAATGCAGCCGATTCACTTGGGTGCAGGCCGGGTGCAGCACTCAGAGTCCAGTACAATTCTGAACCCAGTTCAGCTGCAATTTTCATTGTCATACACTTTGATAATTCGCACCTTAGCCTCTGAACAAACTCACACTGGAGGGGGCTGAAGTCAAAACCGTCCTGTTCATATGTGAACCTGGTCTGGGGTGCCTCAAGATTTACTTTTAAAAGGTGCTGCAACTAAAAAAAAAAATAAAAGGAAAGACGCTGCAGTAAAATACAACTGAAGTCTCTGTCTCCATTGTATATTACGTATGCAACAGCTCAGAATTCTGCACTTTAAATCATAGGATGCCCTACAGCTCGATCGCCTTCATACTTTAGGCAAAGAACGAGTTTTAGTGTTCCCATCAGAGCTTCCACCACCTGATACCTAAGGGCTTGGAGGGCGACTTATCTACAAACTCCATTTCCCTCCATTCATAGCTCTATGCTGTAGGGTTCCAGGGAAAGTGGGCGGAGCTGAAGAAGAGGCGGTAATGCGCATATTTTGCTACAGTTTATCACATGACCGTATTACATCACTACGTCACACTAGACTAAGATAGCTTGGCGGACACAAACCTTTGACAACAGGATACTCGGGGAGGATGTAAAAGGAAATCGACTGCAGATAAAATTCTGAAAGGTAGATTGTGCAACTTTACAGTACATGTCGAAGGAACATAGACTCTGATCTGCATTATCTCGTGTTGCTGCATGACATGGATCTTGCTTTGCTTTATCTATCATTCTACTTTAAATAAACACACTTTTCTACAAAGAACCACTTAAAAAAAAATGTATGGAACGTAAAGATGCGGCTGACCAGAGTTCTTTCTTCCATAGACTATTTTCTGTTCACTTTACTTGACATTTCTGTAAAGGATAAAACATATAGTCATTTCCTCTGTTGTAATATAAAAGGTGAGACAGAACAATTGGCTAGGCTTAAAGTGTATGTCCAGGCACTCCCCAAATGAAAGTGTTACTAAACCCACAACAGTAAAATCAGTCTGTATATGCAGTAAAGCATGCTTGTTATATTCACTGGAAACTAAGAGGTTAATTCTCTACATTATGTAAAAAGGATGTTTGATCCTGTCTTCTCTGATCCTCCCCTTCTTCCAGTGTCTCCTAAATATCTGCAGATAGAACAGAGCGTTGGGGACAAGCTGTACATGCTCAGTTTGATGTGTATCGCTAGAGGTTTTTTTTTGTTTTTTCTTGGGAGAGTGCATGTGATCAGCACCAGGCCAGGGGTGGACTGACCATTTGGAAACTTTGGCATTGCCTGGCATCAGTAGGGGGCCCCATGAGATGCCCCTGGTACTTTTTTCATAGTCTTTTGTGTTTGGGCAAGGACACAGGGGCCCCATGATCCCCTACGGCCCGGGGGGCCCCATGATCCCCTACTGCCCGGGGGGCCCCATGAGTTGTCAGTCCGCCCCTGCACCAGGCCAATCAGTGCTGTCCAGACTGAGGTCAGGGGTTCTGCATCCTCCTACAGAAGAATGAAAACTACAAGCTTTAACCAGTGCTCTGCTGGACATTGATAGAGGTCACAAGACTGCTATACACTGCTGATGTGAAAAGGTATTTAGCAGTTTATATTTACTAAAATAATTGCATTTTCATGTTCTGTGTACTGTGGGAAACTGGATATAGAGAATGCAGGATCTGGGGAGATCAGATATAGTGAATGCAGGGTCCGGGGAGACCAGATATATTGAATGCAGGGTCCGGGAGACCAGATATAGTGAATGCAGGGTCCTGGGAGGCCAGATATAGTGAATGCAGGGTCCGGGGAGACCAGATATAGTGAATGCAGAGTCCGGGGAGACCAGATATAGTGAATGCAGGGTCCTAGAAGGCCATATATAGTGAATGCAGCGTCCTAGGAGACCAGATATAGTGAATGCAGGGTCCGGGGAGACCAGATATAGTGAATGCAGGGTCCGGGGGGGACCAGATATAGTGAATGCAGGGTCTGTGGAGACCAGATATAGTGAATGCAGGGTCCTGGGAGACCGGATTTAGTGAATGCAGGGTCCAGGGAGACCGGATATAGTGAATGCAGGGTCCGGGGAGACCAGATATAGAAAATGTAGGATCCAGGGAGATCAGATATAGTGAATGCAGGGTCCAGGGGGACGGCATAAAATTTATGTCGTTTTTTTTCCCCACAAATTGAGCTTTCTTTCGGTGGTATTTGATCAGTGCATTTTTTTTTTTTTGTGCTATAAACAAAAAAAAATTTAAATTTTGAGGAAAAAACTATTTTTGATGGTTTGCTATAAAATATATCCAGTAAAAAAATGTAAAAAATCAAATTTAATTATCAATTTTAGGCTAAAATGTATTCTGATACATGTCTTTGCTAAAAAAACAAAATCCCAATACGTGGAAATTAATTGGTTTATGTGAAAGTTATAGTGTCTACAAATGGCGGTACAGATACTGGGAATTTTTTTTCTGTACTAGTAATGTTGGCGATCAGCGACTTATAGCGGGACTGCAGAGGGCATTCTGACACTGGGGGGAACTGACTAACTGCCACTGACATCCCCAGTGACACCAATAGTGATCATTGCTAATAAAAAACACTGACACTGTACTAATGGCACTGGGCTGGAAGGGGTTAACATCTGGGGCAATCAAAGGGTTAACTTTGTGCTGTTTTACTGTATGTGCTCTCTATCTGTTTCACTGTGTCAGCACATTGCTTTGCTATGTGGAGGAGCTGACAGGGGAGAGATCTGTATTGTTTACATACAGGTCTCTGCCCTGTCAGTGATACTTGGTGATTGCCAGATGCCGTTGGGAAATCACAGGCCGGGACCCAGTGATTGACAGCTGAGGGCGCCACTGCAAAAAATGCAAAATTACGTATATATACATGATTTTTTGCAGCCCTGCAGCAGTATTTCTGCTATAGGGCGGCAGGAAAGCGGTTAAGCTTCTAACCTCAGCTTGTTCAATTAGGCATTGGTAATAAACGCTGCAAGCTGATTGGTTTCTCTGCAGAAGTGAGTCTGATTTTGCACTCTCCAGCTTTAGTACATAAACCCCATTGTGTTTTTGAAGCATTATTAATATGTTTATGGTGCGTGTTCTGCTCACTATATTTCATCGCTTCCCTTCTTCATTTGATGGGTTTTGTGAAGAGAGGTGTGTGGTGTGTTTAGTAGTGAGAGAAAAACATGGATCTGTCATTTCTGATACTTCTAGAAAATATTGCGTGGAAACATGCTGAATTGCAGCATTTGTAAGGATTTCCTCTTACTTCCTCTTTTGGCTATGGGAAGTGAAGATAAATCTTCCCAATCAGACACAGATGGCAAAATAAAAACTTGATGGGTTATACCCTCCCTTTCTCTATCCAAAATATAAAAAGTTGTTTTGCCTATAGTTCTACTAGGGTTTCGGGTTAGGTCAGGTTTTGTAGAGTTGCGGTAGTGTTGGCATAGGGTTAGGCTTTTTATGGTAGGGGTGTGGTTAGGCTTAGGGTGGGGTTAGGGTTCGCGTTTTATTAGTCCGTATAATTTATTAATTTTGTATGAACTGACACTATAAAAAATGCAGGAATTCAATACAGGCCACATTTAGAAAAGCCTAATCTTACCAATATTTTCCACTTTTGATGGTGACTGGAGCTCGTTGCTGCTTATGACCCCATCATACCCTGAGGGAAGAAAGGTTTCACTATCTTCCTCCATTCCCACCAACAATGTCATGAAGTCCACCACCGTGTCAATGTTCTCCCGGTTCCTGGTCATGTCCTTGAGTGAGCAGAGAACACTCAGGCGGCTGAACGATTTAAGCTCGCATATATTGGCCCGAAGGAAGAGAATAATAATATTTAGGTCATTAATCGGGCAACCCAACATCTTCTTGCTCAGGAGATCGAAGGCTGGGAGCATTTCATAGACATTCAGGAACTGTTTGTCCCAGTGGAAGAGCTTAGTTAAATTGTACAATATCACCGGCACCAAGAGGATGTATACGGCGGCATTGACCACGCTAATGATCTGGAAGATGGTCAGCGATATCAGTTTGCATCTGACAAAGATGGAGGAGGAAATGTCCGATGCAAGAAAATCCGGTTTGATATGGCAGTTGAACTCTTCTTGATAGAAGACACTAAGGTGGAAGAAGCCCAGGTAGAAGCAGGTGATGACAATGAGAAGAAGCAGAAGAATGTTCCGGAACAGATAGGTGAATGCGATGAAGTGGGAACGCTGTTTGCCACTCAGGTAACGTTCCAACAGGGGATATTCAAAGTAGCGCACATGGCGGGCACTAAAATGAAAAAAGAAGTGATTGATCTATAGCATGGGTTTCCAAATTTTCTAATTAAAGAACTGGTTTACTGTCTTTCAGACTTTCGAGGGGCCCAGACTGTGGTTAGTGGAAGTAGAAAATGTTTTGGTGTCAGTGGGAGTAAATAATGGCCCAATGTTGGTATCCGTGGGAGGAATAGTGCCCCAATGTTGGTATCAATGGGAGGAATAATGTCCCAATTTTGGTGTCAGCAGGAGAAATAGTGCCCCATTGTTGCTGTCAGTGGGATGATTAGTGCCCCATCATTGGTGTCAGTGTGGGGAACAATGGTCTATTGTTTTGTCAGAGTCAGAAATTATTCCCCACTATTGGTGTCAGTGGTGAGAATAATGACTTTTATCCGTGGGAAGAAGAGTGTCCCAAGGGCTGGATAAAGATAAGCAAAGGGTCACATATGGAGACCACTGATCTAAAGTATTGGGTGATGTCCACCAAAGTTTTCACTTATGAGTTCCTCTTACACAGTCAGGGCAACCTTACTGGGCACAAGTGCATTGTATCTCAGTGTATTTTCATTGCTGATACAGTATGTGTTTGGTATTGATGAATAACCATAGAACATAAAACTGAGGGATGGAAACCCTAATCTATAGTCTAGCCCTAAACTTGACCTAGCACCAACTCCCAAATTTTAACCTAACCCTCCTACGTTCACGGTACCTTTTCAGCTCCTCCCAGAACAGCTGTGGGTCAGGACAGCTTCTGTGAGTCTTCACCAAGTGCTGGACCAGCTTGATGGATCGATTGTAGGATTTATCCAGTTCGTCGATAATAAAGAGAAGATCAGTGTACAGCGCAGACCTGGAGATATACTTCCAAAGAATGACCGGATGTACATGGCGATAGCCACAACTGTCAGCGTGAATGGGAAAACCTGTGAAATGACAGGACTGGGTGAACATCCTGGCAATGGCAACCTCCTTATTTCTTTCTTAAAGGTTTCATGTTATGGCAGTGTTTCCTAGTATTAGCAGCTAAACACTTTTTTGAGTTGCTTTGATTGGCTCCTTAGAGGTTCTGTCACATTGTATGATTTTAAAGAATGTATTTGTCTTGCACTGCTGAACATAAGTATTTGAACGCCTAAGAAACAGCAAGAATTCTGGCTCTCAAAGACCTGTTACTGTGCCTTTAAAAAGTCCACCTCTACTCCACTCATTAATCTAACTTAGTAGCACCTGTCTGAGCTCTTTAAAGACACCTGTCCACTCCACAGTCAGTCAGATACCAACTACTACCATGGGCAAGACCAAAGAGCTGTCAAAAGACACCAGATACAAAATTGTGAACCTCCACAAGGCTGGAAAGGGCTACGGGGCAATTGCCAAGCAGCTTGGTGAAAATAGATCAACTGTTTGAGCAATTGTTAGAAAATGGAAGAGGCTAAAGACGACTGTCAGTCTCCCTCGGACTGGGGTTCCATGCAAGATCTCACCTCGTGGGGTATCACTGATGATAAGAAAGGTGAGGGATCAGCCCAGAACTACAAGGGAGGAGCTGGTCAATGACATGAAGAGAGTTCAAAGTCTGTTCAAAGGTCACTGTCGGTAGAACACTACACCGTCATGGTTTCAAATCATGCATTGCACGGAAGGTTCCCCTGCTCAAGTCATCACATGTCCAGGCCCGTCTGAAGTTTGCCAATGACCATCTGGATGATCCAGAGGAGGCATGGGAGAAAGTCATGTGGTCAGATGAGACCATAGTAGAACTTTTTGGTCTAAACTTCCCTTGTCGTGTTTGGAGGAAAAAGAAGGATGAGTTGCATCCCAAGAACACCATCCCTACTGTGAAGTATAGGGGTGGTAACGTCATGCTTTGGGGGTGCTTTTCTGCGAAGGGGACAGGACGACTGCACTGTATTAAGGAGAGGATGAATGGGGCCATTTATTGTGAGATTTTAAGCAACAACCTCCTTCCCTCAGTCAGAGCATTGAAGATGGGTCGTGGCTGAGTCTTCCAACATGACAACGACCCGAAGCACACAATCAGGATAACCAGGGAGTGGATCCATAAGAAGGGTATCAAGGTTCTGGAGTGGCCTAGCCAGTCTCCAGACCTAAATCCAATAGAATATCTTTGGAGGGAGCTGAAACTCCGTGTTGCTCAGCGACAGCCCCGTAACCTGACAGATCTAGAGGAGATCTGTGTGGAGGAGTGGGCCAAAATCCCTGTTGCAGTGCAAACCTGGTCAGGAACTGCAGGAAACGTCTGACCTCTGTAATTGCAGACAAAGGCTTCTGTACCAAATATTAACACTGATTTTCTCAGGTGTTCAAATACTTATGTTCAGCAGTGCAAGACAAAAAAATTCTTTAAAAATCATACAATGTGATTTCCTGAATTTTTTTCTAATTCTGTCTCTCAGAGTGGGAATGCACCTACAATGTGAATTTCAGACCCCTCCATGATTTCTAAGTGGGAGAACTTGCAAAATCGCAGGGTGTTCAAATACTTCTCTTCCTCACTGTCTATATATATATATATATATATATATATATGTATATATATAATTTATTTAAATTATGTTTGATTTTTTATATTTTTTTATAGCCCCTTTATCTGTAGGTCCACATAGAGAGAGAGGAACACATCTATATGAATACTGTCCCTCTTAGGTTCTGTTACATCTGACACAGGTACATTCCTTTGTGCATGTTGAGCCCAATAGGAGTTCTCATTCACGCATACACGCTTATGTGGAGGGTCTATGTATGTATGTATGTATGTATGTATGTATGTATGTATGTATGCATTTATTCATCTTACTCTTATAGATGTTTTTTTTTATTTCTAAGCCTGCATAAAAAAGACTTTATATTATTTCCATTGCATTGCAGTTGGTTGGTTTAATTTCAAGTCTGAACAGAAATGTATGAATATGGACTTTTAATAATAGTCCATTCAGACTATTATTTGCAAGTCAAGTGCCATTGGGAGTACACACCATAGTTATGATCCTAGCAAAGGGATAGTAATGTGCCTAATTAGTTTAATAGAAAAGTCATCAGAGTTTTTTTTATGCCTTCTAATGGTTTTTAATAGTTTGAGTCATTATATTATATTTTGTTACAACAACACAAAGAGCTAATAACAGTTAAGGTATTCTATGGGGTTGAGGTCAGGACTCTGTGCAGGCCAGTCACGTTCTTCCACCCCAAACTCATTCATCCATGTCTTTATGGACCTTGCTTTGTGCACTGGTGCGCAGTCATGTTGGAACAGGAAGGGGCCATCCCCAAACTCTTCCCACAAAGTTGGGAGCATGAAATTGTCCAAAATGTCTTGGTATGCTCACGCCTTAAGAGTTCCCTTCACTGGAACTAGGGGGCCAAGCCCAACCCCTGAGAAACAACCCCACACCATAATCCCCCCTCCATCAAACTTTACACTTGGCACAATGCAGTCAGGCAAGTGCAATCCTCCTAGCAACTGCCAAATCCAGACATGGCCATCAGATTACCAGACAGAGAAGTGTGATTGGTCACTCCAGATAGCACGTCTCCAGTGATCTAGAGTCCAGTGGCGGCGTGCTTTACACCACTGCATCCGACACTTTGCATTGCACTTTTTGATGAAAGGCTTGGATGCAGCTGCTCGGCCATGGAAACCCATTCCATGAAGCTCTCTATGTACTGTTGTTGTGCTAATCTGAAGGCCACATGAAGTTTGGAGGTCTTTAGCTATTGACTCTGCAGACAGTTGGAGACTTCTGCTCACTGTGCGCTTCAGCATGCGCTGACCCCGCTCTGTCATTTTACGTGGCCTACCACTTGGTGGCTGAGTTGCTGTTGTTCCCAGTTGCTTCCACTTTGTTATAATATCACTAACAGTTGTGGGTGGAATATTTAGTAACCAGGAAATGTCACGGATGGACTTATTGCCCAGGTGACAACCTATCACGGGACCACGCTTGGAGTCACTGAGCTCCTGAGAGCGACCCATTCTTTCACAAATGTTTGTAGAAGCAGTCTGCATACCTAGGGGATGATTTTATACACCTGTGGCCATGGAGGCGATTGGAACACCTGAATCACATGATTTGGAGGGGGGCCCAATACTTTTGTCAATATAGTGTATATTTGTATAACAATTTAAAACAGTTTATTGATAATTATTTATTTTTACTCTGTATCTCGAAGGATGTTTTTTTTTTCTAATTTTGAACATGTGACCAGCAACAGAGGACAAGAAGCTTCTCCTGCTTATGTTTCCCTGCAGACAGGCTGGGAAAGAGCTGGGTCATGTGAATGCTGTATATTGATTAGGAAAAAGGAATTTTGATGTTTTTTTTTAAATTAAAATAATTACAATGCCACCATCCATATACAGAAATAGAAGGGACAATTTAAATTAAAATGTGTGCAGGGGCGGACTAACCATTTGGAAATTCGGGCACTGCCCAAGGGCCCGGGTCAGTAGGGGGGCCCCATGAGATGCCCCTGGTACCTTTTCCATAGGCTTTTTTTGAGTTTGGGCAAGGACACAGGGGCCCCATGATCCCCTATTGCCCAGGGGCCCCATGAGTTGTCAGTCCACCCCTGAATGTGTGTTTAGTATCACTTTAATCTCAGCATGTAAGTCGTTTAATTAGATGGATGTGGCCTGCTGACCATGACCCTCTAGATGGGAGGACACGTTGGAAGAATCTCTCCTATGTATGGCTGATAAGTCATGTTTTGCATTGTATTGGTATTGTTCTGTCACATGTTCTGTCCCCCTTTGTAATGTACAGTGCTGAGTGAACTATTGGCGCTTTATAAATACTGTATAATAATAATAATAATAATAATAATACGTGTAAAATACATTGTCAGTACAAAACTCAGCACTTTGCTCTCAGAAATGTCCTTACCTTTGTGTGGATCCACAGGGAGGTGACGATGTGCTGTCCACCAGCGGTGAAATCGTGGTGCGTCAGAGACTGCCAACAGTGCTTATCTACAAACTGCATTTGCTTCAATGAGAAGTTATTTGGAGGGAAGCAGATTACTTGTGAACCTGGAACAGGGAGATGATTGAGTGATAAAGGCTCATTAATACCAGCGGGTTAAGCTGCACATAGGGCGCGTTCGCTGGGGTGTTGTGCATGCGTGCTGTGATGCAACTTGAATAGCTGTGCAACATGTCTAAAGGCTCAGGAACATTATCGGCACCCTAATGAGTGATAAAGACTGCTGGAAAATTCAGAACCTGCTTATACTTAAAGCAGTATTATCCGCTTCTGTACTGCCCTATATCAGAAATACTGCTACGGGGTGGCACGGCTGCGTAAAATCACGTGTATATATACGGCCTCGGCTGTCGATCACGGGGGTCCCGGAAGGTGATTGTCCGCCGGCACCCGACGATCACCGAGCATCACTGACGGGGGAGAGACCTGTATGTAAACAAGACAGATCTCTCCCCTGTCAGCTCCTGCACACTAATTTGTATGGCTCTGCATAGCACAGCCATACAAAGCAGCGTGTTTTCAGTGGAAAGCACGCACACAGTAAAACACACACAGCACACAGTTAACCCTTTGATCGCCCCACATGTTAACCCCTTCCTGCCCAGTTCCATTAGTACAGTGTCAGTGCTTTTTATTAGCACTGATCACTGTATTGGTGTCACTGGGGATGTCAGTGACAGTAAGTTCCTCCCACTGTCAGAATGCCTGTCGCAGTCCCGCTATTAGTCGCAGATCGCCAACATTACTAGTAAAAAAAAAAACTAATTCCTGTATCTATACCGCCATTTGTAGACGCTATAACTTTCACGTAAACCAATCCATTTACACGTATTGGGATTTTTTGTAGAAGAATACATTTTGGCCTAAATTTGTGATGAAATTTGATTTTTTAAATCTTTTTACTGGACATGTTTAATATCAAAAAAGTCAAAAATATAGTTTTTTTTT